AAGTAAACACATTGCATACCTCAATATCAGATATTGCCGTTCGTAACACACAATCCCAATTTACTAAACGAAGGTCCCTGCAACAATGACCCCAAAAAAAAAGTAATATCTCCACAAAAGAGCAAGTTGAATCATGTAAATGAGCATATACAATAACAAGTTTAGGTATAAATCATGTCATAAGAAATTGAGAACTTGAGGAGCACTCAAAGCTTAGGAAACAGAATCACATCAGCAAGACATTAGAATATAACTTAATTCACATAAATATATATCATATAATTTACCATGTAGCACATTTGCACATAAATGTATCTTAGTATTTAGATTCCAACAATTCATCAAGGATATAACACATCTTTTGCCCAAAAATGCGCAACATCATAATTAAAATTATGATTCAACAGAAAAAAGTTTGCAAGTCCACTATATATTTTGGTCTATGCTGAACGTTCAATCATATCATGTTCCCAAAATATGGCTGTAGTCCACATGATTCTGGTTTTGACTTCAGATCCGCATGTGGCAGGAAGTTTATCTAAAAGATTTTGCCTTATAGCCTTTGACATATATGTGTGTGTGTAATTGAGGAACATCGTACAGTAACTAGGTCTAAGACAAAGTCTTACAACAAAATTTGATTTGTGTATATATTATTACACATGGTTGATAACAAATAAGCATCCTATAGTGTTTCCAATAACACATTAGCTAAAGCTTTGACCAGATATAATCAAGGATCTTATTAATTAGTGTCAATATTAAAAGATTGGAATCAGCATCAACGAAGATCCTATAATTCAGAAGTTATGAATAAAAGCATTACATAAAGACAATGAATATTGCCAATGCCCACCCCACCTATAGATAAGGCCTTGCTTGTAAAGCCTCACAAAAGCCTCTGTCACAGCCCTAGATCTTCTATCATCCATAGTGAAGCACTGGAAATAGAAAGTGAGACAGAGATAAATAAGAAGGTCAATTAACACACTATGACAGTGAAATGGCATGAGAAATAATATCTGACTCCTACTGGGTAGGCTTTGTTTCAGTTTTCTTAGCTTCATAACCGGCTTCTGCTAACGGGTTTTATAAGGGTGTTTTAGGTTGGACATGCAAAGGAACAGGGATTGTTCTTTCGAGCTCATGTTTTTTCTTCCTTAACGGAGTCTTCTTTTATCCTACAACCCCAAAATAAAAAATAATAATAAAACTACTTAAAATACATAATTACCTCACGAGACCAATCCAGAGAGGCTCCTAATCGGCGTAATTGTTGTAATATTGTGCCACCATACTTGTTTTTCCACTCCCATACCTACTTTTGCCAATATTCATCAAAGTTGGTCATACGTTCAGGAGAAAAAATAGAAGATATCAGGCTATCAAGAACCTTGACTTCAAAAATTGTTTTACAAAACATACCTCGGAGATAAATTTCTCACGGCCCAGATCATGCCTGGTTAGTTGTCTTTCACGCATTATCTTTTTCTCCACAACTACCTGCGGCATAAAAATCATAATTTACATAATTTAACACCACCTCACACATAAAAGATATGCTGAAACAAGAAACTTAAGATATATATCATTAAAGAGTAAAGTAACCCATAGTACATGAGCACCATAAGTAAAATTTGAGATAGGGCTTACACTACAATTTAAAGTCAATGACAGTATGACACAAATTGTAGGAAAAATAAAACTTCTATCTATATGCTGCCTTTTCTGCCCTTAACTTTGCAGCGAAAGAACTATCCAATTCATTTCTAGTCACGAATTTGTGACAGAAAGATGTATGAAAAATTGGAAGGAAAAAAAAAGTCATTCTGCCTCAGAAGCTAACATTTTAAAAGAAATCCAACCACAGAGCAAAAACTACTTTGTGTTCACACATTGACAGCACTAAATTAAATGTGCATAGGCAACTGAACAAGTGGTTTTTAGTACAAGTACTTATTAAACATTGTATCTAAATGGAAAATAACATTTTCTTTAAAAACAAAAAGTGCCCAACAATCATAAGTTTATCCAAACAAGGGAAACTTGAAAGCCATAGCCAAATAAGTAGCCTTTCCTCCACCACCCAACAACATCCACAATAAATGATAAATTAGAAGAGTTAAGAACTACATGAAAAATTCAATTTAGAAATAGAACCTGTGTGGCAATCCCAGCATGATCCATCCCAGGCACCCACAAAGTATTGTATCCAGACATTCTTCTCCAACGAATCATTGTGTCCTGCAAGCAATAAATCTCATTGAGATTAACCATTTTGAACAGCTAAACTGAATAGGGAAAATGGGATATATAAGATACCTCTATTGCAGCTGTTAGAGCATGACCTATATGGAGAGCACCAGTCACATTAGGTGGAGGCAGAACCTAAATACAGCACAATCAAATTCTCAATAGACACAAAAAGGGAGCAAAAACACATAAATTTTTATATCATTTGAATTTGTACAGCCACTTTGCACATTCCTCTGAAGCAGTACAAAAAAGCATATAGCCTAAAACTTTTCAAGATTTTAAGCAAGAACAAGACACTATATTTCATTCAAATCCAAAAAAGACAACCATTGATCAATAGTACACAATTTGGGAATCTATTAGTGCAATTAAATGAGATAACATTCAACACCTAATGTAATACTATTGAATTTTGAGAAACTTCTTAATCTATAAGATAAAGCACTTTAAGAAATAGAACAATAGATTTTAATTTTTCATTAGAAGGATCTCCGAAATTGGGAAGGATGACTCCCACTATTCAGCAAATCGTTACTTCACACTCCATAACGCACATGTAAATCTCTATTACACCAAATCGTCTAATTGTATAAACATAATTGACTTTTACTCTCAGGTAGAAAAATTGGAGCAAAAACAGTTTCACATGGCATCAGGAACAAACATATATATGTTCGACAAGAAACTCACAATAACAAAAGATGGTTTCGAGCTGCTAGCATCTGCCACAAAAAACCTTGATTTCTCCCACCACTCATACCACCTAAATTTTAGCAAACATAAAAGATGAGCACTTCATACAATTAAAGTCAATTGAGCATAACGATGGATTTTTAACACCCACGATTTTTCCACGGCAGTTGGACTGTACTGTTTCGCCATTTGACTAGACATACATTTCTTATCACCCAACGGAGTCTCGGGATCAATATAGTCTTCAGGATTCTCATCCTCTGCACCACGCTTCACATTTTTCTTTTCACTCTTTTTAGAAGCATTGGATGATTGTTGTGTTTGTTGCTGCCAACACCAAATGAAAGAAAGAGGGGGGGCAAAGTGGAGATTATGAACATTGTTTACAAGATCAAATTGATAAAAATCACACAGGAAAAATAAAAATATAGCAAAATCAAATGTTGCAATTTTACCTGAGCTTGCTTCTGAAGAAACTTCTCTTTCTTCAATTGTTTCTCTCTTGCCTAGGACAAAGCCATAACATTGTCACATGAGAAAATATAAATTAGAAACCATTGCATATTATAATTCCATTCAAAATGCCTTAAAATAATTTTTTATAAATTCCTTCCATTCCCATGAGTACTGGAATTCAAGAAAAGGATATTCAAAAAGCATAATTTTTTTTTAAAAATCCCATTAATGCAAATCCTGATTTACAAAACAATCAGGATCAAGAAGAAGAAGATGATGATAGAAAAACCTTTTCTTCCTTCTTCTTTTTCTTCTCAGGGTCTTCGGTTGTGGGTGGCACTTGCTCTTTCTTGTTGTTGTCAGACAACTCCATTGGTGAACAGTGAAGATTCTGCTGCGTATGGAGTCTGCGCAGCGAAAGCCAATAACGGCTCTTGAAAAATGGAGACAAAGCAATGTTAGAAGCCACAGCACAAACCTAGGTGTGGTAAAGTATCAAAACACACTAATCTCCTTCGTTTCACTTGAATATAAAATAATATGTTGTGTATTAATCTAATACAAAGAGTTACAATATATAGAGACCCTAATGGGATTAAGTGAGAAGCCCATATCTAATACAAAAAGAATATCTACAGATAGGAAAGTAATTTAATCTATACAAATCTGAACCAAATCTATATATCTAATATTTCCTATTCTAACACTCCCCGTCAAGCTGGTGCGTATATATTGTGAGCACCAAGCTTGCTACAAATGTATTCAACCCGAGAACCTCTAAGAGCTTTAGTGAAGACATCCGCTAGTTGATCATTAGAGTTGACAAAAGTTGTTTAGATTTCTCCTGATTGAATCCTTTCTCGAATGAAGTGACAATCAACCTCTATATGTTTGGTTCTCTCATGAAATACAAGATTAGAGTAGAGGATATATGTAGCGCAGCTTGATTGTCACAAATGAGTGTCATAGGTTGTTTCTGTTCACAAAGATGAAGTTCCTGAATCAACTGCTTTAACCAGATTAACTCACAGGTAGCAATTGTCATTGCACGATACTCGGCTTCTGCACTAGATCGAGCAACAACAGGTTGTTTCTTGCTCTTCCAAGAAATTAAGCTTCCTCCAAAGAAGACACAATAGCCGGAAGTAGAGTGCCTGTTTGAGTATGATCCTGCTCAATCAGCATCTGAATAACCACAAATTTCTGTATTTCCCCGATCCGAATACAACAAACCTTTTCCTGGTGCTCCTTTGATGTATCGGAGGATTCTCACAGCAGCATCCCAATGAGAATCACAAGGGGAATCAAGGAACTGACTAGCCGTACTAACAGCAAAAGAAATGTCTGGCCTAGTCACAGTAAGATAATTGAGCTTCCCAATTAGCCTCCAATAACGACCAGTATCATATAACGGCTACCCCTGTCCGGGCAATAACTTGACATTGGGATCCATGGGTGTATCAACCGGTTTACACCTCAACATACCAGTCTCTTCTAGGATATCCAAGGCATACTTCCTTTGACAGATAGAAATGTCCTGTCTACATTGTGCCACCTCAATTCCCAAGAAGTAACGCAGCTTCCCAAGGTCTTTTGTTTGAAATTGACTGAATAAATGCTGTTTTAACTGACGAATTCCAGCTTGATCACTTCCGGTGAGAATGATGTCATTAACATAGACTAACAAATAGATGCACTTATCAGGAGATGTGATCCTATAAAATACATAATGGTCAACTTTACTGTGGACTAAGCCAAAAGCCTGAACAGCAGAACTGAAGCGACTGAACCATGCCCGAGGAGACTGCTTGAGACCATATAAGGATTTGCGAAGACGACACACCTTCCCAGACTCCCCCTGAGAAACAAAGCCAGGTGGTTGCTCCATGTAAACTTCTTGTAAATCACCATGAAGAAAGGCGTTTTTTATGTCAAGTTGAAGGAATGACCAGTGACGAACAGCAGCAAGAGCAAGAAATAAGCGAACTGACGCCATCTTAGCGACCGGAGAGAATGTGTCGCTATAATCAAGGCCGAAGATTTGAGTAAACCTTTTGCAACTAAGCGTGCCTTGAGACGATCAACATGGCCATCAGGTCCAACTTTCACAGTAAAAACCCAGCGACAACCAACTATAGACTTCTCTGGAGGAGCATAAACAAGGTCCCAAGTGCCATTGGAATGAAGTGCAGTCATCTCATCAAGCATCGCTTGACGCCACCCTGGATGGGAAAGTGCTTCACCTGTGGTCTTAGGAATAGAAATAGAAGAAAGACTAGAAACAAAGGTGAAATGAGGAGAAGAAAGACGGTCATAGCTCAAAAAGGTATAAAGAGGATAAGGGTTACGAGTAGTACGAGTACCTTTTCTTTGAGCAATGGGAAGAGCCTCTGGTGAAGGAGCCGGAGGGGAAGAATCAACAGCAGTGGGCGATGAGTCAGCCAAAGTCCAATCAACAGCAGATGATTTGCGCAGATCCATAAACTGAGACATGATGGAATAGAGCTGCTGAACATCATTAGTGTAGAGGTGTTTTGCTTCCTCCCACACTTCATTGCAAGTTTGAAAAGAATAGAAGATGTCCAAGACGACTGGAACAATAGACTGCCAAAGGATACTCAAAAGCTGGTTGTCAATTCTTTCCCAATCAGATTTTTCTTCCTTAGGAACTTCAGTAGATTTAGTCGAGAGATGGTTCCCATGTCCCTGTCCAAAGAACCAAACTCGAACAGAGGTGGCCCAGTTCTTGTAATTAACAGAACCCTTCAACTTTGAAGAGGTAATGGGCCCAACATTGGTGGAGATGATGTTAGGAGAACTTTTGGCAGGACGAGAGGGAGAACTAACCTCCGAGTGAACAGGAGAAGATCTGCCAGTATATTAAATCACAAGGGTATAAACCAAGTAAATAAGAACGAACCTGATCAAAAATCAAGAAGAGGCGCGCACAAAAAGTGAGACCCACAAAGAACCAACCCCAAATCTGGAAAGAGGAGGAGAGGACGAGCCTTTCTATCCAAGAACGGCCGGAAAATTCCACCGAAATAGTGCACACGCGCTGCAGAAGGTGGCGCGTGAGCACCACGCGCAGAGGAGACAGGCGGCGCATGACGGCACGTGAAGGATGTGATGGTGGTCGGACCTCCACATAACTGATCGCCGGGAGGAGAGGGTCTTGATCGCGGGTGGTTTGGTTCGAAAATTCGCCGGAAAACTTCTCCGGCGGCCTGAACAGTGCTGGACGGTGGTTCCAGTGGCTGTCGGAGGTGCTGACGCGTTCGGAAATTACTTCAAAGGAGCTTACAGCCCTGTATGGCTTGCCGGAAGGATGCACGGCAAAGAAAAGAGGATTCCTAAGCAGTGGTCTTAGGTTTTAAAGCGAGAACGGAGTTTTAAGCGAAAGCGAGGGTCCCCAAAACAAAAGAGCTCCGGTACCAACTTGAATATAAAATAATATGTTGTGTATTAATCTAATACAAAGAGTTACAATATATAGAGACCCTAATGGGCTTAAGTGAGAAGCCCAGATCTAATACAAAAAGAATATCTACAGATAGGAAAGTAATCTAATCTATACAAATCTGAACCAAATCTATATATCTAATATTTCCTATTTTAACAGTTTCTTTTCTTTCTAGGATTGGATGCTACGACCTATGTTGCATCGACACCGACACGCGACACGACACGATGACACAGGGCACATTTTGATATTAAATAATATTTTTAATATGTATAATATAGTTTACATTTAATACATTTAGTCTATGTTTGCATTGTATACCACCATGGCAAATAAGCACATATCATTTACTTATTCTTGAATTTTTTGTTGTCCTAAGAATATTAACTTTCAGCACCAGAAGTCAATTTTACCAAGTATTCTAAAATGCCTTAATTTTCCTCAAGTTTCATTGTTGTGACTTCCTAATTTATTTAAGGTGCTTGCTTAAATTAATAATAATAAACCATGATTCTTCAAGGCTTATCATGCAAAAGCCAACAGCAAGTCTTATAAGATGAATAATTTAATTTCAAGGAAACGGCATTATTATATTATTTATTTGGGAAAAGTTAAAAAATAAAATAAAAAAATGATGCCATATTATTATGAAGACCAAGTGAAAATTTGTTCCTCAGAAGAATCAGTATTATGAAAAATGGAATGATGGAGAAGTGGTGTCAAAGTGATATAACGGCATTACTGATTTAACATTATATTGAATCTAAATAACAGTAACAGCATCAAATTGTTATTTCAAGGATTCAGTCACAAAAATTACCAATAAACTAATGCAACTAAATTTAGCAGCCATATAACTCAGCATTTCAATACATTGCAACCAAGAGGAAGCATTACCAGCCAATGAAGCGACGAGGAAGAAATGGCAGACGGACAGTTGAGCAGACGGCGAAGGAAGAGACCTTCCGACGCAGAGAAGACGACGAAGAAGAGAGTTAGAGCCTTAGAGAGCAGCAGAGAAGACGACGAAGAAGAGAGTTAGAGCCTTAGAGAGCAGCGAAGGAAGAGATAGCAGCGGCCCTCGTGAACGAAGAAGAAAGGGGTTAGACGGATAGTTTAGGGTTCTAAGTTTTATTTTAGTTTGGGGACGGATACTTTTACAAAAAAAAATTCAAAATTTTTACAAATTACGCATGTCCGAAAAAAATACAGTGTAATTATTGTTTTTCCGAGAGAATATAGTGTAGTTTGTAAACAAAAAAGTTTGCAAATATAACATGCCCCTTAAGATTTTATTAAATATTTTTAATTTTTTTAAAATTTTAATTTTATTAATATATTTTAATTTTTTAAAAAATTATAATTTTTCTTCAAAAATACCTTTTGACTGTATCTGGTAAAATTCGCGTGACGAAAAAGTCTATATATCCTAAAAAGTTGACTATGTGTCAGTGTTCAACATGTGTCTAACACGCATTTTATTCTTTTTGGAAATTGCAGTGTCCATGTTTTATTACAACCTATGAAACATCGACACTTCAAAAAATCTGACATGTCGTCTCCGGCACTTTGCGATACTCTGACACTCCAACACGAGTTGCAGAGACTCAAAAAAGGATCAATAGTTGTGTTGCATTACGTTTTTAGTTCCAATTATTAGGTTTGTTAGATGGGGAGGTTATACTTACTATCTTTTTTTCTTACTATCTCTTATTATCAAATCTTAAACGTTGATTTTCGTCAATCTAACGGTTATAATTTATTGGGTCACACTTATTAATTAATTATTATATTCTAATAAATTATAACCGTTAGATTGACGGAAATCAACGGTTAAGATTTGGTAGTAAGAGGTAGTAAGAAAAAAAGGTAGTAAGTATAACTTTTCCCTGGATGGATTATGATTATTATTTTATTGAGTTTAATATAAATATTTGTGATATCTTATATTTCTTTGCAAAATTGATGAATATTATAAGTTTAACTTCATTTTTTTGGTTAAATTATTGAATATTATTGATAGAAAAATTATTGAATATCTTAATATATAAAATCTTCACCATTCTTTGGAAACTTTGCTAACATATCAATCTCTTCTTCATTCTCCACTTTCTTTTGACACTTAAAACTAGTTTGAAATGTTTTTTCTTTTGGCAACTTTCAAAATTCTGGGTGGGAAAATAGTTCAATTTTATGTGGTGGAAGACAGTTGTATTAATGACCCACTATTTTTTGCTTGGATAAATTGTTGGGCCTATTAATTGTTACAAGCTTTGGAAATTCGTTTTTGTAAGTAGGAAAAGAGTTCAACATTCATTAGTAACAAACATATGTAGAATTAGCTTCTGCGCACGTGTTTCTTCTCTTCTTTATCTTCTTCATCTTCTCAAGTTGTTCTTCTATTAGATGAACATGTAATATTTTTTCATTTTTTTTGTAGCTCTATTATAGAGTAAAGCTGACAAGTTGTTCTTCTATTAGATGAACATGTAATATTTTTTCATTTTTTTTTGTAGCTCTATTGTAGAGTAAAGCTGACGAGATGATTTGGAATCACTAGTATATATATGTTTGTACTTCCTCATAGGAAGGTATGACATTCTTTTCTATCTTTTTTTTTCTACAAGTATTTTCTCCATAATCCAATATCATGAATGAGATGATATAATAAAATGTCTTTACTTTTAAATGACTAAATATTTATGTTTAGCCTTCCTTGTCTGTGGGCACTATCTCAAAATTCAGCACGATAAAAATTTCTCTTTTTTCTTAAAGTCCTTATGTTTTCTATCTTTAACGCATGCAAGAGCAAGATGAGTTTTCCCTTCTATTCTTTATGTTCATACATAATTTGTTTCTAATTGTTGTTGTTGTTCTTTAATTTATATATTTTCTTGACATATACGCTTACCGTGATGGTGGAAGTAATGAGTTTGATAGGGATGATACTACTTTGACCTCATAAAACCATCATCTATTTTTTCAAATGATGTTCAAAGTGTGCCAGATGCTAGACCAATGCAATCGAGCAACATAGTTTCAAATGGTGATTTAGAAGAAGACAAGATAGAATAAGCTATAAAGTTGTTCTAATTATATACTTTTGTTGCTAGAATGTTGTTCTCACATGTTTGTCATGAAATTGTAAAATTGTCATTATGCATTATTTTTAGGGAACGAGGAGTCAACATCTCCTTAAATTTTTTACTTGATGTTTTACTTTTTTTACAATGAGCTGCATGTCTTTTAATATTCCTAGAACCAATAATTATTATAGTTGTTGCATGTATTAGTCTATTCATCATTGAAATCCTCCAAATTTAACTCAACAGAAATGATGAGCCATTTAAATATTAATTTCTTTGTTTTAATTTTGAAAAATAAGTAAAATTTAATAAAATAAATTTATATTAAAACACATACAAGCAAAAAAAATTCGAAAAAAAAAATTTATGCATTATGTTTTAGGAAACAAGGAGCCACCATGTCATTAAATTTTTTTAGTGTCTTTAATTTTTTTTCATAAGATTATGCAATAAAAAATTTATATAGAAATGAATAGACGTTGTTAAACGGATATTCGTGTTAATTAAATTACTGCAATGAAAAAATAAGTCACCAATAGATTGTCATCTTAATAAGGTTCCATATACAAAAAGTAATCATGCATAACCATAGTCATCAAAAAACGGTTCGAGGAGGCATAATCATAAATATTTATATCTTAATAATGTTGCATAATCATGCATAACCAAGAGTTGTTTTGTTGTTATTTCCAAAAAAAAAAAGAGTTGTTTTGTTTCGTTTTACAACTAACGGTATTTGAAAAGGCAAACTCAAGCAATCTATCCATTCATTTTTATCAAAATATCCCCTCAAACTTTCTAGATAACTGCATCAGAAAAGTAATTAGATGGCTTAATTAAAAATATTAACTAATTAAAATGGAACATTATTTAGTAGAACTATTTTTTGTTTAAATAAAGAAATACAGGAATGCAATTAGGTGGGACATAGCAGTCTAAAATATATTTTAATATTTAAATAATTTTTCTTTAAGAATTATATGGCTTAATTGAGTAATGTAATTAGGGATTGGAAAGTTTTGTTTTGCATGCTCATATTGGGAATAAGAACCAGAACAGAAACTTGTGGCTCTTCAATTCCAAAATATAATACATGCATATATAGCTTTTTATCTTCCAATAAATTCATCATAATTAGTGTCGAAACCAACGTCCTATGAAAAATAAAAGTGAATATTCTAGAAGCCAACAATTTTTTTTTTTTTAAACAATTCCTAAATATGATACAAAAAAGAAAAAAAAGTCGTACAAGTGTTTTTTTTTTTAAAAACAAGTTTAACATATATGTTTTAAATATTTAAAAAATAAAAATTATAAATTAAAAGCATTTTTCTTCTCAACCATAAAATGCTCTTTCGATTTAAGAAAAATATAGGTATAAATTCAATAATAGTTCAAAGTACTGAGAATAGTAAAAGTTAAAATTTAAAGATAGTGAAACATTATTGAGTGAAAAAAACCAGTATTTTATGTACAAGTATTTTTTTAAAAAAAATTAACATAAATGTTTTAAATATATATGTATAACCAATATAAAAATCTATTATATGCTGATATAAAATGTTGACAGTTAGAGATGGAAAATTGGTCTCGACCCATCCGCCCGCCAACATATTTTTCTTCTTCTTATATTTACTGTCTAACAAATCCTTCTTTGTGTGGCTAAGTGTTTATTAGAATATTAAACGTAATAACTCAAATATTTGTCAACTCTTCATCTAATATATATGTCACAAATACACACACTTTAGAAAGACGATTTAGAGACAACTATAGAAAACATAGATAGCTAATAATATAGATGCAACTATAAGAGCCTTTTTTGTTAACAATCAGATATTGCAAAATTACATCTTCAATTGATACCAAATTTTGACACCACATAGCTAACATTTCAATCTTCAATTTGATATAAGGCACAGCCCTATATGACCTCTGTGGAGGGAGATATGCTCTCCTCAATTTTGCCTAAAAACTGGTTACTTAGTCTTAAATGTGTTTACTTAACAAACCTTAATTACTTTTGATTATAAATCCTAATTCACATTAATTCTTGGATTTTTATATTATTAAGTCACATTATGAAATATCATTAGTCTCATTATGTCATGATATTTAAATTTTACTAATTGCTTAATTAGTGTACCTAAACCCTACTTAGTTCAATTTTTAGTGTTTAAGATTTAATTAATCAATTATGCTTAATCCACCTCACTTGGTCCCTCCATTAGTGTCCTAATTAAGTCTTAGAACCATTTTAAGACATCAAACCCTAATATATATCTATATGGCTGAATTGCATAGTCATAAACTTGTCTTTTTAACACACTTTCATGGTTTGATTAAGTCCTTTGTGTCTTTAGTCCCCAAATGTGTCATCTTTATTAATTTTAACCATTAAACCTTAATTAATATGGATGGGGTAGAATTATAACATATAATTTTAGGATTCTTAGTTCATCCACATCAAGAACAACTCACACACCTACCAAAGGTGACACTTTCCCTAACAAGTCTTCATCTTTCTTGAGTTTTAAACTTCCACTAACACATTTAAACACCAAGACTCTATTTTTAAGAAAATACAACATCATTAACACCATAAACTCATGATGGCCAAAATCAAAAGTCAAGGAAAGGAGGATTTTTGGTCATCTTTTCCATGGATTTAAGCCTTACTTCTCCAAAATGGCTCTTTTAGTTCAAGCTCCAACTTTTACTTACCAAGAATGATTCTTTTTCACCAAGAACACACTTTCATGAAATATTCAAGGATTTAGAACCAAGAACATGAATTTAAAAGAGTAAAGGTAAGGTTTTTCATGAAAAAATGCAAGAAACTTACACTAGGAACTCAAAGAATGACCAAAGGAAGAGTGTTCTTCAACAAGGAGCTTCAACCACCATTTCTTTGCCATAAAAAGGAAGGTATTGCAGCTGCTGTTTGGTGAGAGAATCACCACGAAAATTTGGCTTCCAAGAACAAAAATGGA